CGCCTCCCTGGGCCTCAGTTTCCCCATGTATACCATGGGCAGATTGGACTAGAATCATTTGGCCAGTGGGTGGGTATTTACTGAGCATCTACTGTGTTTCAGCCATGGTGCTGGGGATACAGTGACAGAAAATTTCCCGATTCTGGCCTGAGAAGCTCACTGTCTAGAGACCCATGTAAATGAGCCATTATAACCCAGCATGCTCAGGGCTCCACGCTGGGAGCCCAGAGGGTGCTGGAGCAGAGAGAATGCTGCTAATCTCCTTCCCCAAAGGCTGGAGTTCAGGGACAGCTCTCTGGAAGTGGTGCTGACTGAGCTACAAGATGCATAGGGGGCAGCCAGGCAAGGGAGCATGGAGGACAGTCTTCAGGTGGATAGAACAGCCCGAGCAAAGTGTGGCTCTGTCTCATTCGCTGCTGTCTTTCTGTGCATTGCACAGTTCCTGACACATGCAGATGCTCGGTAAATAGCTGGGGCATAAGTGATCATGTCTAATTTACAGATGGGGAAACTGAGACCTGGGGAGGTTTCACAGCACACCTCGAGCTCTGGCCTCCCTGGATGAGGCCACTCTGCCTCCTTGGAGTGCCAGAAGGAAGCTGCTCCGTGGGTGTCCCTCTGAAGGCCAGGCCTGTGCTGTGATGGGGCAGCAGCCCAGCCCTCTCCTGCCACATGAAAGATGTGGGCTATTTTTGCCTGGAAGACAGGCCTCAGTGGCCACAGGGGCTGTGTAATTAGAAGTGGCCCTGGGTTCATGAGGGGTTGGAGCTAGGGACTGTGGTGGACCAAGCAGCCGCCCCAGGCTCAAATGGGGAGGACCCTGGCAGACACCCGAGATAGAATGGGTTTTTCCCTCGCCCTCCCTGCCTCCTTGGCCATGGCTGCTAATTGCATGGTGGGCACAGGGTGGGTCTCTGAATTGCTTCTGGGCTGGGTAGAGGGCCTGGGTGCTGCTCTGTGCCTCTGAAATTACAGGCTGCAAGTGAGTGACACAGCCCACTCCATGCCATGGACCTGCCCATGCCCAGTGGAGCCGTGGAGGTGAAGCCATGGGGAGCATCCAAGCGGGCCCCATGACTGGTCCCAGAGCTGGAAAAGGTGGAGCGTGAGGCTCTTGGGATAGGTGAAGAGCTGCTGGAGCAAACCTCAGAGTATTAGCTGGCCAAAACCTGAAAATGCAAGAGTGGAGGTCAGAGTGGTCATTCATACGGTAAACAAGCATTTATTAAGCACCTACTGTGTTCCAGGCACTCTCCTAGATGCTGCTGTTATGGCAGTGCATAAAACAGGCAAACTTCCTGGTCCCCACGGACCTGGCTCATTGACTCTTGGATGACAGTAATCTCCAGGAGCTGCCCTGGATGTGCTGTGTTCCCATCTGCCTCAGGGCCTTTGCACATGCTGTTGCTGTTGCTGGGACCCCTCTTGCTTCCCTGCCTTCCTAAACACCTCCTCATCCTCAAGAGTTGCTCTAGTGTCACCTTCTCATGGAGGCCCCTTTGAGGCTTGGGACCAGACTAGCCCCCGGCACATGCTCCCGAGGCCCCTGAACTTCCCCTCCTGACTCTTAGCCTAGTCTGCAGTTAGATGCTCATTTGCTTGTTTACTTGCTGGTTGCAGGTCTCCCTCTACTCTGCAGGCTCTGCGCCTCTGTTTGCTCATCACTGCCTCCCAGAACCTGACTTGGGGCTGGGTGCAAAGTAAGAGCTCAAGAAATATTTGTAGAATGAATGAAATTTAGAATGTTAGAGTGTTGGAGCCTTAGGACTGGCAGGCTCGTGGTGAGCATCTCGTCCAACTCCACATTTAGCTGCAGCCCAGAGAAGGGCAGTGATTTGCCCAACTGCCCATAGTTGGTGTTTGAGCTGGGGTTGGGACTCAAGGCTCCTTTTTTCTCTGGTCAGTGACTGACATTGTTGCTGTTCTATCCTCAGATTATGGGTTGAGATGTTCAGTTTAAGGACAGCATTGTGTCTATGTGTGTGTGTGTCTATGTGTGTGTGTTGACATGATCTGGCAGCCCTTTGACAGGACAGATGGAGGTGGTAGAGGGGCCAAGCTGTGGGAAATGGGCTCCTTGGGGGTGGGGGGGCTCACAGGCCTGATGGTCCCATTTCCAGATGTTCTGACTTAGGGGCTGGGGCAGAAGAAAGGACTCTAACCCTCATCATGCTATTGGATCCTGGACAGGTCCCACCACCATGAACCTCAGTTTCCTCATCTGTCAAATGGGCTTCACTTATTCATTCGCCTCTCCCCAAGCATGTGGGGGCTGCTGTGTTTGACACACAGCACTAGGCTCTACAGGGGGAGGAAAATCCAGGGCTCTGGAGGGTGGGTGATTCTAGCTCCATGGGAAGCAAGGAAAGTAATAATGAAATTCAGCCTCAGTGTGGAAGACAGAATAGTTTCCCCTGCCCCAAGATGTCCATGGTGTAATCCCCAGAACCTGTGAATGTGAGTATGTCACTTTACATGGCGAAAGGAATTTTCACATGTGGTTAAGGATCTTAGATGGGGAGATTATCCTGGGTCATATGGGTGGGCTCAATGTCATCATGAGACAAGGGTCCTTAAAAGGGGAAAAGGGAATTGGAAGACAGAACCAGAGAGATGGCAGCATGGGAAGGAATCAGACCGCTTCTGCTGGCTGTGAGGATGGAGGAAGAGGCTGGCGGCCACGGCACGTGGGCAGCTTCCAGAAGCATGAAAATGTGAAGAAACAGATCTTTCCCCTGAAGACTCCAGAATGAACACGAGTCCTGCTGACACCCTGATTTTCAGCCCAGTGAGACCCATTTCGGACTCCTGACCTCAAGAGCTATAAGATAACAAATGTGTGTTGTTTTCAGCCACTAAGTTAGTGGTATTTTGTTACAGCAGCAACTGGAATTGAATACCGCTGGGCCTGGCCAGTGCTTTTTATATTGTTGAGCATGTTCATGCTCACGAGCTCCTCTGATTTTGCCAGCAGCCTTGTGAGCAGTGGACTTTTTATCCCCACTTTATAGATGTGGAGACCGAGTCTCCATGTACAGCAGGACATGGTATAGGCAGTGTTTGAACCCATGTCTGTCTGCCTCTGGGCTCACTCTGCCCCTAAAGGAGGAGCACAGGTGGAGGGGAGGGGACTCAGAGGGACCCCTCATGCTGGGGCATCTGTACTGGGAGCTGGCCCTGTTCCTGATGGTTGTGCCTCAGCCTCCTCAGACTGCTGGGTCATGGCTAACCTCCCTGGTAGTGGGCCCTGAGGGAGGTCTTGCTGCCCTGCCCAGCTGATGTCTGGTCTAGGACAGGTCAGATAGGGATGGGACACCCCCTGGCCATCTTGAAGTGGGTGCAGCTGCTACAACATGTCTGTGGGCAGCCACTTGCACCTGCGGGTGTATGTGCGTGACTGTGTGCGTGTGTGTGTGTGTCCATTGGTGGACAGTCTGCTATTCCCTCTAGGATGCAGGATTTGGGGTGATCTCAAGAGATGGTGGGAAAGTCTCTGATTTTATTTTCCAAACAAGTGACTGTTTCCCCTTTCTAGAGGTGAGTGGGTACTGCTGGGCCCATCACAAGGAACAAGGATAATCTAGAGTCCTGGTTTCTGCAGGGAGGGTATGGATGGTTAATCACGCACTCACTGTTCCAGACCTTCATTGGCTCCGTACTGCCTCCTGGATGAATAACATTCTGAGACTTTAGTCCAGCTCCCGCACCTCCTCCAACCCTCCTTACCTGCTCCTCCCTTTGGTCCATGCTCCAGCCTCATTTATTCACCGTGTCTTGTCCATATGTGGCATTCTCGGCCACCATGCCTTTGCCCACGCTGCTCCTCCCACCTGGAATGCCCTTCCAGGATCTCCTCTAGTTCAGGCTCTGCTTATTCACAGCTGGGTCCTCAAGGATAACTTCCCTGCCTCTTTCCCTCAGAGAATCAGTCTCTCAGTCGTGGGGGGTTCCCGGAGCCCTTGGTCTGGCCTCTGTGCTGTCCCAGGTCCCTTTTTGTTTTGTAAAAAAGTAATTTACATGTGTGTCCTTCTCCCTGGAAGTCTGCGAGCTCCTTGAGGGCTGGGCTGTATCTGATTCACCTCTGGAACCTGCTTGGCACAGCACCTGGGGCCTTATGGGTGTTGACTAAGCATTTGCAGAATGAGTGAATGAGTATGTGAATGAATGAATGCAAGGTGCTGCTGGCCCACTCAATTCCTCAGGATGGCCAGAGGCTGCCACTGATGCACTCAGGACCCTGGCTGAAGCCTTTGAATTCACCCTGCCTCACTTTCCCCCTCTTTGAAATGGGTCTCAAACTCCTGCTCAAGCTACTCTATTTAGGGTATTGTGAGGTACAGATCCCAGAATATCAGAGCCAGAGGTTGCCCAGAAGGCCTCCCACCCACCCCTACAACATGGGGAAACTGAGGCCTTGAGAGGGGAAGGGCCTGACCAGGGCCAGAGAGAGGGTTCCAAAACTGGGCTCCCTGTGCAGGCTTGGACCCTCCATCAGGCCTCTCTATACACATCCTGCTCCCACTCTGCACCCCAGCCTGGAAAACCTGAGTCACAGCTGGAATCAAGGACGGGGAATTTTTCTTCTCATTTCCAGGGGCCTCCGAACCTCCCTGAGATCACCCCTTTGGAGTGTAAGGGAGTGGGCAGGACCCCAGCTCGCTGCACTGGGGAAGTGCTGTGGGACAGCCCTGCCTGTCTGTCTGTCTCAGCCAGCCCTGGGGACCCAAGGTCAGGGAGGAAGTGCCGCATCTGATCTTCCCCAGAGTGGGAGTGTGAGCGAGGGAGGGATTGCGTGTGGCCCGAGCGCAGCCCCGCCCCTCTCCAGTCCCCACCCCAAACCCTCCTAATGAAATCAAGCTGGCCCCTGAAGCCCAGACAGGGAGGAGGGAAGGAGGAGGGACGGGAGGAGGGACAGGAGGAGGGAGGGCGGCAGGCGCCAGCCCACAGCAGCCCCAGGCACGGTGTGGACTCTCTCCTGGGCCAGGCACCCCCCACTCTCGCTCCACCTGGCAGGAGCACCCAGGCCTGAGCGTGGAGGAACTGGTGAGTCCTGGGGTTCCCTTCTCTGTCCTGAGAGCCTGGGCTGTCTTGGAGTTTAGGGACTGGTGACTATCTGAGCACTTTGCGGGTGTCTTGAAGCATGTGTGAGCTTTGAGTGAGTGTTGGATGTTGTGTGCATGTGTGTGATGGAATGTGTGTGCGCCTTCTGTGAGTCCCGGGTGCAGTGCTGGGACTGGCCGAGGTGTTCTGTGTGTGCAGTTGGGGCCTTGGTGTAGGGGGGTGTGCTTTTCTCTGGAAGTGAACACCCAGGGTGTTGCTTCCAAGATCAGGGTGAGGGTGGTGTGGACGGAGATTGTCCTGTGTGTGGACATCGACTGTGTGTCAGGGCATTGCGTGTATGCACGTATGCATGTCCATGTGTGTTCTCTGTGCATCCGTGCTAGGGGGCTGTGTGAGCTCTCTTGAGTGTCTGGGTGCTGTGTCCTGCTGCTGTGACTGTGTTGTGTGTCCATATATTGTGTGTCCATACTGTTGCTGCTGCTGCTGTGTGTGTGTGCGCGCGCGTGTGTGTGTGTGTGTGTATGAGAGTGGGTTTTGAAACCTCAGGACCCGCTTCCCATCCAGACCTCCCCACCAAGGGGCCCAGGGCCCTGTCCTAGGCCAGCCCTGGAGAGGGGAGTGCAGTGTTTTAGCCAAGAGCCCCCTTCCCCAACACCACTAATTGAAGCCAGGTTTCTGTGGGCCGCCCCTCCCCATCAGGCCACCAGTGTCTGGGTGGGGGTGGGGCAGCGGCTCGGCCCCTCAGCTTCAGATCTTGGGGTACTCAGGCCTTAGGGGTGGACGTGAATTCATCTGCATGTTCATGACCACAAGTAAGGCCATTACATTTTAAAATAGCAAACCCTGATCGAGATGGTCCTGAGTGGGGAACCCTGGATAGTCACATGGTGCCCACTGACTGATACCTGTTGTGCACCAGGCACTGCCGTCTTGTCCTAACAATAGTCCAGAGAGGTGGCCCTTATCCCTGTCGTACAGATGTGGAAACCGAAGCTCAGAGAGGTGACATGCCTGGGATACATAGCAGGGAAGTGACCTCCTGGATATTTCAAGAGAGGCTTCTCCACTCAGGGCTCTGCGAGCCTCAGCCCCGACTTGCTCTGCGACCCTGGGCAGGCCATTCCCCATCTCTGAGCCTGAGTTTCCTCTTGGGTGAAATGAGAGGGGTTGGGCCTGACACCAGCTCCTAATGGCCTGTGAGATTCTGAGTTCCTGAATAAGTCAAGACCCAGGAGGCCAGGCCAACCTTGTCTCAGGAGGTGGGGGCACCTGGTGAGCAGTATGATCATTTCAGAACTGTCCAGACCAGTTCTTCCATGCTACATATGGGAAACTGAGGCCCAGAGAGGGCAAGGGGCTTGTCCAGGGTCACACAGCAATCTTCAAGACCCGGTAGGCTGCAGGAGGGGCTGCATCCCCCTGCTTTGCCTCCACCTTTCTCAGAGCCAGGAGGGGTTGTGGGGTGTGGGGGACTCTGAGAGTTGGGGTCTTGGCCTGTAAGAGCCACTGGTGGCTTGTGTGGCCTCCTTCCTTGTCCTCTCCCCTGAATCCAGTGCGCAGGGAGCCCTTTCCTCTGTCGGGCTCACTGCTCCGAGTGAGTGTATATGCGTGTGTGTGTACATGTGTGTGTGTGTGTGTGTGTGTGTGTGTTTTGTCCTGCATTCCTCAGTGGCCAGAGCTAGGGAGATTTCACTGAATGATATAAAAAAGGTGGTCTTTCCTGGAGGGTGGGGGTAGGAGACCATGAGCAAGTGCACACATCAGGTGAGACTGATCATTTGTTGGCTCAGGGTGGGAAAATGTTGGCTGCGGATGACTTCCCTTTCCTCAGGGAGCACTACTCTGTGCCAGGAGCTTTCTGAATGTTGTCTCATGCGGTCCTAACTGCTCTGCGAGGTATGACCTGCGGTCGCTCCCCACCACCCCCAATTTACAGATGGGGAAAGTGGAGCCCAGAAGGGTCAGACTGCAGAGCTAGACAGAACGGAGCCAGGTCTCTCCCCAGCCTCCCTGATTCCCGGCTGACATCCTCACCATGCTGCCGCCTCACAACTTCAGCGGGTCTTTGACCACTTGTGGTGGCAGTTTTGCCCTCTATAGTGAGAAGCTTCGGACATGGCCACTGAAGGTCTCTTCTGGGCCTGACTTGAGGTGGGAGGCAGGGAGGTGATGGGCAGGACAAAGACCCCAAAGCTCAAGGTTGTCTGCAGGAACCTTTGCTAGTGAGTGACACAGAGGGGAGGGGTCCTGATGCGCCATGGAGCATCTCAGATCCTTGTTCCAGCTGACGACTGATGCCAGCTGGGGGAGTGAGCCTGTCCTGGGCCAGACTGTGTGTGCATGTTGTGTGTATATGTGTGAGCGTGTATGTGCACTCCTGGAATCAGGCAGAGGAAGGCTCAAATCCCAGCTCTGTGACTGCCCACCTACGTGTCCTTGGGTGAGTCGTGGTCTGTCTCTGAACCTCCATGTTCCTCATCTGTGGAATGGAGATAGTGGTGGTGCCACCCAGGGCTTCTGCAGGACTGAGCACATGGAGAAGTTTCAGGGACACCCACGATGAGAGCACCAGCTCGTTTAAGATGAACTCCTGGGTAGTTTGCCTCTTTTTATGTCCTGGAATTATTTTTAATTTTTTGCCATCTGATCCTGTTTGTCCAAATTTTCATCAGTACAATTCACTTCCATTAATTGGGAGGCCTCAGGTCACCTGGAACAAGCCACCAAATGGCCCAGCCTTCTTCCTTCCCCATTTCCTGAACGCTCACAGTCACTCATGAGGTGTCATCTGTTCTACTGAGCAGAACCTGAGGCCTAGACGTTGGAGATGGGACCTGCACTGCAGGTGCTAGAAACCTTGACTTACTCCTTCAGCCCAGGAACTTGCTGTGTGGCCTTGGGCCGGCCCCTTGCCTTCTCTGGGCCTCTGTCTCCCCATCTCTGAATGCTGAGATAGGACCTCAGACTGGAGTTGCTAAGGCTTTTCTGTCTTGGCGCTTCTAGCCCCAGCCACCTTGTGGGAACTGGGCTCTCTGCTGGGCCAGGAGAGGCTCTCAGGGAGTGGCCTGGGGGGCACGGGCGAGCAGTCTCAGGGTTTGCCTGAGCACAGACCCACACGCAGACTGGCTGGGAGCGTTAGTGATTTAGAGACTGAGCTCCTTGGTAAACTTGGGCCATGAGGAATTTACTAATCAGCCGGCTGTCTGGGCCAGATGGGGTCTAGAGGTTCGGGCCAGGAGCAGCTTTCCAAGGGGGAAGGGAAGCCTGGGATCATATGGTTCCCATCTAGTGGGGGTGGGGTGGGCGAGCAGCTCCAGCTTCATCTGAGGCTTGAGGGCTTCCCCCAGGGCCTTCCCAGGCCTGCTTGGAGCCCTGAGGTGAGGGGCAGCCAAGCTGGGGATGCTCTCAGCACCACCATGGTATCCAGGCCCCCTGCCCAGCTCAGAGAACCCGAGACTTCAAAACCTAGAATCTTCTGGAGAAGGAGGCAGAGCCGGAGTGGGGGAGGTTTGAGAAAGCCTCTGACTGAGCTGTGGGATGTGACAGGAGCCTCTGTGGCCGCGCAGTGCCTGGGGATGAGGCCCTGAGGGGAACGGGACCACAGAGGGGCTGGGGGCTGCTGACGAGAGTTCCCTGGGTGGGGATATCACTCGGCTCCTCAGTCACTCAGTTTCTCATTGACTCAGCCCTACTGTCATTTCACCCTTCGTGCCTGGATCCAAATTCCAGCACTTCCTTGCCAAGTCACTTAACCCCTCTGAGCCTCAGTTTCCTCACTCGGAAAATGGGGAAAATAATATCATAGTACAGCCCCCTGTGGAGAGTTGTCAGGATTCAATGAGAAATTTCATATGAGACTTAAAACAGTAGTTGGCGCATATAAGCAGTGAAAGTGTGAGTTAATATTAATAATAGCCAAGTCAGTCAAGATACATTTATTGAGCCCTTACTGTCTACCAGATATGGTGCAGAACCCAGAGGATGCCGAGAGAAATAAGATTCCCTGCCCTCCAGGACCTCGGGAGGAGGTGGGGGCAGGTGTGCACCCCAGTATGAACACACAGGGTCCATTGTATGGCTGGGGGCTCAGGTGCTGGGACGGGAAGTGACTTGCTGGAATATGCACTGCGTTCCCTGCACCTCCCTGGGGTCTGGCGAGCCCTCTTTCTGAGACCCCGGAGTCCCACCTGACTTCTCTCCTCCCTCCTGTCCTACAGGTCCTGGGGACAACATGGTCTCCGCGGTGGCCCGTGGTGTCCTCACTGCTCTGCTGCTGCTCCTGGGGCCCATGCCCGTGGTGGCCCACTCCGTGCCCGTGCAGGCCGCCTTCCTGGAGGATGCGGCGGGTAGCGGGGAGGCCGAGGGCTCATCGGCCACGTCCCCGAGCCTCCCACCGCCCCGGACCACCCTGAGCCCCACGTCAGTGGGGCCACAGCCCACGCTGCGGGCGGGCCCCGCGCCCCCCAGCAACTTTCTGGACGGGATCGTGGACTTCTTCCGCCAGTACGTGATGCTCATCGCTGTGGTGGGCTCCCTGGCCTTCCTGCTCATGTTCACCGTCTGCGCGGCCCTCGTCACCCGCCAGAAGCACAAGGCCTCGGCCTACTACCCGTCCTCCTTCCCCAAGAAGAAGTACGTGGACCAGAGGGACCGCGCCGGTGGCCCCCGCGCCTTCAGCGAGGTCCCGGACCGGGCTCCCGACGGCCGGTGCGACGAGGCCCTGGACTCCTCCCAGCAGCTGCAGGCCGACATCCTGGCTGCCACCCAGAACCTCAGGTCTCCCGCCAGGGCCGGCCCGGGCAGCGGGGATGGAGCCAGGATGGT